TGCTACGGCCACTGTACGAGTATGATATGATAAAAGAAATATGGGTTATACCACTTTTGCGCAGATAGCCTCAACTATGTTTTATTGTTACATGCACCGTGGAATAACCGAGAACTCGAAGTAATACACCCGCCCTCGCCCAGGCATGGATTACCTTAAACAGTCAGGTTATACATTTCTATTTATTTGCCAACAGAACATATAATTAAATATAATCAATACAAAAGCCTAATTTGGTAAAACTTAATGCAACAACTCGAGACATGTTCCTAAAACTATAACTACAATAAATTCGGATACAAAACCCAACTAAATAGAAATATTGGCATTGCTATTCCTTATTACGATGACGTACGGATGAAAAAAAAAAAACATTTTTGAAAGTACAAAATATACACTAGCTAAATATCAAAGACCACACTTTAGAAGTATTCATAAAATGGCGATGGTTCTTGGTTCGACGAGTATGTTTTTTTGTTCAAGATATCCTAATTTCTACAGTGACTTTCCACCTTTTTTCGGTGTTTATAGTTAAACTTGTAGCAAAAGATGTTCTATTACTAATGTAATTAGGATTAAAATGTTTTAGAACAAAGTCGTATATTTTTCAACCGCACATCATCCAATACCACCTATACGATAAAATATACACCTATCAAAAAGTTTTAAATAATATCATTCTAAAAATTCCAAATTACAAATCGATTTTATAAGAAAAGAAATTATTATATCATTAATAAATATAAAAAGACAAAAAATTATAAAATAGTGTTTACTTATTTGTTCGAATAATACTCGGAAAATCGTTGAGCTAGTACGACGCGATTCAAATAAGAATAGAACTGTTTAGTATTTTTGCTTCTTAACCATTGACTTACAATTATATGGACGTCGGGTCCGCGCTAAAAAGTGTCCGCACTTGTAAGGCGCTAAAATCGTATACAGAGCGCGACACTCCGCTTTAGTCTTCATTTGTTCTACTGACAGCGCGATACTGCGATGACATAACAATTTAAATTTCGAATAGGTTGACTTGGGACATTTTTTTCGTGGTTTTTGTATTAGACCCGTCGTCCATTTATTTGTAAGTCAATGTTCTTAACAAACAGTCTACTTCTTCTTTTTTGCTTATTGGCGATGTCTTTTTTAGAATTTCGCTAGCGTCAAATTTGTAAAAGTAATAAATCTTTATAGTCAGATATTCAATAAAAAATACCAAACTGACAGTTAAACGCATATTAGACTATCCGATTTTAAGGGACCCTAAATCTCATTTAGGGAGGTGAAATAAGAGCTAGGTAGTTAGGCTGCGTTTTCACCAAAGATGTGCGACGGTGTTACGACGTGTGGGAGGAAAAATCCACCAATACGATTATGGTGGAAAAGGGTAGCGGAGCTAGGTATTTGTACATACAAAAAAGCGAGAGATGTGTGCGAGGGAAGCGAGCGAGCTCGGCGTCGCCGCCGCCCACCCCACCACATCGTACCCCACCCGCGCACAACTGAAAAGAGTCCGCTGCTCATCCTACACTCCGTTTCACAGCTCCGCTACAAGTCCTCGCATCGCCCAGCTACCTCGCACATTTCTGGTGCTACCGCAGCCTTAGGGTCCCTACATAGGGAGACTTAATATAATAATAGTTCATAAGAGCCGCGCCCTAACTGGGGCCATGCCCACCTCTAACCCAGGGCACTTGATTTCGGGTAGTATAAAAAGCGTTTTACTTATTGTGGGTCGACTGCACAAGTCAGACCACGATTGCGACTAGTGCTACAACAGACCTCTGCTTCTGTTTTCGCAATTGCAATTCGCCATTAAAGTTCCGTACACTTTTCACATCTGTTTCCGTTTCTGCTTCCGCAACATTTATAACGGAACTTTAATCGGAAGTTTATAACGTTGCGTAGCATTAGGTGCTGGTGCGGATTACTTCGCGATGGAACGCGCGTTTTTTAGTAATTTTGTGTTGTGTAATAATTGCACGTGAATTATGAAACCTAAAACAAGCCCTGTTGGAGTTCTTTATAGTATTTACACTTCCGCTTCCGCATCCGTTTCCGCTAAGATTTGCTTTTGACATCTGTTTCCGTTATGACACTTCCGTTCCATCACTACTTGAGGCGCTACAGGGAACAGGCGGCAGGCGCAAGTTAGATTAACGCCGCCCGCTCCCCGAGCGATTCCCTCTATCGTCAACCCCCACGTCCCTGTTGTTAGCGTCTCGGGTGTGGTCTAACTTATGAAGTCACTTTTAAAAATAATGTTGCCAAGTTTATTGTCGAATGACGTGTTTAGTTCTTTTTTCAACGAACACACTGAATCAGAATAAAAAAAAACGTTCAGGATTTTAAACTATTAATATGCTATATAAATATTTCATTTACATTCAGTCTATACGTACTTGCATCATTTTTGTGTTATGAATTTTTTTATTTTTGTTGAAGATTACCTTGGTGATACACAGGGTTATTTTGTAAAATGCTAACAATCTCGCAGGACCATATTACTAACATCATAAACAATAACTTCTCGATGCCTGCAATGAACACTACGGGAACTTAATTTTAGGACCGGTTCTGTTTTTATTTTGTTTTTTGTTTCTTTACTTTTTGTCATATAATTCGGGGAGTAAATAAATGTGACCGTTTAAAAAAATGACAGAAGCTGAACAAAATACAAAATTGGCGTGTTCATTGGAGGTATCGTTTTGTTCCATGACTTTTTACAAAACATAATAAATTTACCAAAAATTTACTTTTAAGTTTTTGTTGCACTAATTGACACTTTTATGATCTGAATCTAGTAGTAAGTTCAATCGAGCAAATGTCCTCCCCGACGACCCCACCCGCGCTCCTGCGTTTTGGACAGAGTTATCACTGTTTAGAGCGACCTATTGAAATATTTTGTATGAAAATAAAACGTTAAGAATCATTAAAAGTTTCGGAACAAAAGTTGCTGTTTATGATGTCAGTAATATGACTATATTTGAGAGGTATGAACCCTGTATATGAATTAATAAATAACTGAATACGCCAAAATACAACCGCCTGCGCGTCATCTAATCTATTAACAGTTCCATTCTTATTTGTATCCTGGTAGAACCACATCTTTTTAAAGATAAGAAAGGAAAAAAGTCGAGATGTGGAAAAAATCTTTTACCGTTTCTATAAAAAACAAATGAGTTATCTTAACTAAATTGTTCATGTTTTTTTCAATAAATTTCATCAATTGTTTGTTACTTATTTCAAACCAGACGATATGACAGACAATTTAAAATGTTTTTCAATGTTTTTTCGCAACTTTGAGCAATATAAGTATATATCGAGTTCTTAGGTTTTCGCGATTGTTACACATAAGAAATTAAACTATTTTTCCATTTCATTTATACAGTCAACCGTCACCATGGGACCTGTAAAGGGCCCGAAGCTTTGTTTGCTTGGAAAAAAGACAAATATACGCGATTTAAAACCGGAAAAATAGTTTCATTTCCTAAATATAGTATAAACAAAATCAGTTTTATTTGCTAACGAACTTTACATTTTTTTATCTTCGATACCGTCTTGTTTGAAAGAGTACACCTATTTCTGTATTCAAAGTACGATTTTTTTTTTAGAAACCAAGTCTTGTTACTTGAAATAATCACAACTGGCCACACTGATGCATACCAAATGCCAGCATTCATTAACATCTACAGCACTTTTATCATGAGTTTAAAGTGTAGACGAATGTATTTGTAAATTTTGGTTAACAAATTCCATAACGCACCTAACGGTCACAACAAGAACTATAACAGCGAGTGCTATAAACTCTATGGTCTGTATTCTATGGTCTTGTAACAGATGAGACTTTCGTCACGGGAATTCGTCAAGCTTTTCAAATTTCATTTGAAGCTGCGATTATCTGCCGTCACATTTTTATCATCGCGTTTTATTTATCGTCTGACGACTGTCGTTCTAGTTCTTCCCATTGTCACGACAGTCTGTCGTTGTAACGTCAAAAAAGTCGTGAACGACATTTAATCGTGTTGTCCTATTTGTCAACAACTTCATTTAAATATACAAGCCACGACACATTAAACTGCACGACTATCTGTCGTCACGATATAATGGGAACGAGCCCTTATCTGTTTACGCTGATGATTCTATGGTCAATGCTCAATAAATAATAAAAAAGTAAGTTCTAGTAATAGACCCGTCCACCATTGTTTGTTCTTATTCATAATCTGTCTGTAATGTTGGATGTTAACATTAAAATAACATTTTAATTATCATCTTAGGAGGTAGTTAGCAACTATCTGCACTGCACACTCATGGTATAGGCTGTGTTTAAGAAATTGTACCTTATAGTCTGTCTTTTTTGAAGACGGAGTAAAACGTGTTGCCTGCTTGCGAGCAGCTAGTGATTGCAGTCGATAAATATTCTGCCGACTAAATATTTGTCACGCTTATGGAATAAATATCCGAACTTGTTTCACTTGTTTGATTATTATTATATTTGAATCATCCTCGACCCATTATTCATCCAATTATTGAGCACACGTTCATTAAAATTTTACAAAATTTTAAAAAGTTTACACATAAATACACTGTATTTAGAACTATGCTTATGAAAAATACAAAGAGGAGACATATTTTAAAGTTTTTCATTTTAATGCAATATAGATAATGAAGTCCGGCTATTCTTGAATGTATATTAATAAAAATTGGTCTCGATACTAGTAGGCCAACTGTCAAAATAAGAATAAAGAAGGCAATAACGCAATTAGTTTTACCTTCCTTCACAATCTATCGATAAAACTATCGTCAACAACTATATAACTATTTCAAATTTTATGAAAACTGACAACACTACAAATGTCATTTTACTCCGTCTTCAAAAAGACAGACTACACGTCATTTACAAACAGTTCAAATAAAATAAAAAAAACTATTTTTGTTCTTAAATTTATTTCATGACGTTGAATTCAAGTGTGACCAGTACATAATATTCATAAAACAAGTAAAAGATTATTAAAAAAATATACTTGTAGAGAAGCAAAATAGGTACTGTAATTAATTAAATACAAACATCAACAGTAACTATTATGCTTCTCATCTTTTCGCTAAGTAAGAAAGAGACGCATATAGCTTGCATAGTTTTGCCCAAATCTTTCCATCAATTATATACAAAGTTACTTTTTCGTAATTTAAGAGACTCAAATCCATTCGTTCCATTCGTTTTCTTCAGCCATTTTAAAAAGCTATTGTGACATTTCAGAAATATAACAATCTCTTGACGATACCTATATTATGTTGATTATACACTTGTACGATTGTATAGAAACGGCGCCAATCGGTATATTACATTATTTTATTCTATTGGGTACAAAACACATGAGTAAATTAATGTACTTGGACACGTTCCAGTTATTTAACAAATGATTTATGATTGTACCCAAAAATTTGTTTTGTGCATAGGTACAAAACGTATGGACAGGGTGATTCACATATTTTACTTGTAACTTTGTCCAAATACCCTCTGACAGAATAATTCGTACGTGATTGCGTTCTTAACTTTATTTAACGTTCGTTTATACAGAAGAAACCGTATTTGCGTCCAATCCACGTGTGATAAATACGAAAGTGTTGATATTCGCAACTTTGTCCAAATTTCTCGGTCCGAAGATGGACGTGACGGTTCATAAAGGCGTACAAACGTTCATCGAGTGTGTACATACTATAGGGAAGGTCGATTCGTGGGCACGTCCAACGGCGAGTTAGGTGGTCGGCGAGTGCGAGTGGGGCGCGGGCGTGGGCGTTGGCGGTCAGCTGAGCCGCGGCGCGTGCGGCGGCGGCGACGTGGCCTGCAGCAGGTACTCGGGCACCGGCACCGGCCGCAGCCGCGCGGGGACCTTCTTCTGCGGACACAGCGTCTGTGCAAAGTCATAGTCAAGTAATTTTTATGTCATAGATAAGCAATTTACACTTGAAACCGTCATACTGATTGAACTCCACTGCTCATTCGTAAGGCAGATTCCCTTGAGAAGAATGAGCATGAAGCTTTAGGGGTTGCTCTTTATAAATATAGATTTGAATACATTTATCATTACAATATTATTTTATCTTAAACATCTTAGATTAAGTCTACTTATTAATACACAGATCGAACACTCAGAAAAAATTCCTTTGATCCGGTTGGATTCGAACCGACGTCTTCTTGCATACCGTGCCAGACGCCATACCAACTAAGCCACGGAACGAACCAACGGACCTCACGAATTTTTCTATGTGCTTGCGTCGTGTCTTTGTACTTGGTCTTTCAACGACTTTTTAGTCGTAGCGCCATCTATGAGAAATCTATTACAGATTTGTCACCCAGTTAGTACCTTTACAGCTACCAGTCCTGGCGAGAGATATCGCTATTGACTGTATTAATTAAATTTTTATTGAATTCAATTATTTTTTGTGAAATTACTCAACTAGTTTGTTATAATTATTAATACAAAGATCGAACACTCAGAAAAAATTCCTTCGATCCGGTCGGATTCGAACCGACGTCTTCTTGCATTGAGTCTACTTGCAAGAGCTAAACGGGCCACTACCACGGATTTTGGTCATCCAAGTACGCAGAAGCTGTATAATAACCTTGAGTATAAAGTTTTTGTTTCACTATAGTTTTAAATGTCGTAAAAGGCAAATTTTGAATATCAATCGGAACCTTATTAGCATACACATTGTCATTTCAAATTAATTTGAGATTAACGGGAACTTGCAAGCGATTAAGTTCCCGGTTGAAAATTATATATATGTTAAGGCGAGACACGGGAGATCAAATGGTTACAAAAAATATACGATACACGTAAGGATATTGTCTACAGAATTTACTTATTTGTTACACGATGGCTACAGGATATACTTCATCCTATGAAGACTAAATTAAAAGTGTAAAATTGATTATTTAAGAATGAAGAAATAGAGACGAAATAAGGGCCATCCATCCCTGGCAACTCATCAGGTAAATGGGCCTAATATAAACTCTCGTTAGCGCTGAAATCACAAATTAGAAAATTGAAATAGTACAGCCCCAACAACTGACCTGTGTGTACGTCTTCGTATATTCTAAAAATATTCTGTATTTATTATAATAAAGTCAAAGTCAAAGATCATTTATTCATAGGTAAAATTTTGACACTTGAAAACGTCATTTTTTTTTAAGCTACTGCTCGTTCACTACGCTGACCTCCCTGAGAAGAACGAGCAAGAAACTCAAGGAATTGCTCTTTTCAAATAAACTTAAATGCTATGGAATACACGTTGAATCAAATTTGTGTGGATTCTGGAGCCGTGTCGTCTTTCCGTACATCTTTATCTAACACGTAGTCTTCAATTTTGTAATATGACTTTTTGATCAAAATATTTTTAATGTAGTTTTTAAACTTAGGAAATGATAAACTTAATATATGCTCCGGACAACAATTTATTATAACAATTGGGCTGTTCCATTCGGTGGTGTGGGAAAAAGAGCAAAACATCTAATTACAAAACAAAGGGACACACATTTTATCGGTAATTAAATATTAAATAAATTATTTTGCAATTTACGTCCATTATAGCAAAGCTCAAGTTAAACTGGTCGATTTGAAGTGAAACAATTGACGACACCCGTCATCTTATCGAATTTGGGCTGGCCAATCGGAGCGCAGTTGTCACAGTAATGATATGGCAGAATAGTCTTCAAACAAATTAAATGACATTTCGTCTCTATATCTGGTTATATAGTCGATGTTTCTCTTTAAGTACTACAGAGAACCTGCTAAATTTTGATTTTCTACTGACGCCCTATAGTTATTAAATTCATAATTATCTTAAAATTTGAAAATCGCCCAGCGGTTTAACGACACGCCGCTACGCCCCCTGCCCCGTCAGTCGCCATCGGGCGCTTGTCGACGACAGGTCTGTGGCAAATCTTCTCTGCCTGTTCTTATTTTATTCATATTAATTTACAACGCGCGGGTTGTGCGACGCAAGGCGCGGTCCCCTACATTTCTTATAAAATGTAGGGAACCCTAAGACATTTTGTGAATGAAAAAGGTACCCTTCGTAAACTTACGGCACTAAAAGAAAATGTAGACATAGTACGATACTAACCCGTCTGGCGAAGACGAAGCAGCCTTGTTCCTCGTCGGGCTGCGGAGGCGTCGGCACCAGCTGCAGGTCCAGCGTCTCCGATTCGCGGCCGTCTTCGCCTGCATCAAACAAAACAATCATAGTATGTCATCGCTACAGCAGTGTTTGGCGCAGCTATTGTAATGAAATTTTAAATCACTCGAATTTGAGAGCTAAACGTGGATATAATAGCTTTATCGAGGCGGCATAACTACGGGGGCTGCACGTAAGGACAACAAATGTCCTGTCACGTGATAAGCGCACCTCTAGAAAATACGTTCAATTCCGTATAGCACCCAGTCTCGATCATCTCCGTCTGCCAAGGAATGGAGACGGAGCCAGTGTTGAATTTGCCGTAGAAGGTGTCGTCTCCCGCGTCGAGGTTCACGCCTTTCACCGTGGAGAACTGCTCGATGTCGAGGACATCTTTCGCGTACACTGCGTGAGGCTGAAATTAAATGTAATGAATAATGTTAATTTTTTTTCTGCTATTTTATTATGAATGTATTTGTTTACGGATATAAAATAGTGTATATTATTGCAATATTTATTTACTGAATATTATGATATTCATGTAATTATTTATTCCTAAGTGTGAATATTTTTGGTTACGTTTTTAATTTTTTCTGTTTTGTTTTTTTCTTGTGTATTTATTGTGATTATACTCTACTAGTTTGTACTACGATTTATATAAAAATCGAAGAACACAAAGAAACATTTCTTAAGTTTGACTGGATTCGATCTCTTGGAAAATTTGTTGCTAAGCGAATTTGCCAAAGTAAACACGCCATTACTACTAGAGATGAAACGGATATCCGGTAAGTATCCGGCCTAATTTTACAATACCGCCGGATACCGGATAGTAGATCAATATCCGGCCGGATATCGGAAAACTGAGAAATTCACAATTAGTACGGGAAACAAATTGGTTTATTGCTTAAAGAGAATAGCAATATCACAAATATTGGACTGCGTGATTATAATAATATTACAAATTATTGCTTGAGAATTACTTAAAGTAAAACTTTGTATGCCATAAAGGCGGATCACAGTGATTCAAAATTCATTCTTGTAACTTTGCAACCTGCGTGTCACAATGAAATAAATGATTCTTGAAATGATTTGATTTATCGAGTTCTTAGGTTTTCGCGATTGTTACACATAGGAAATGAAACTTTTTCTGGATTTAAATCGCTTAATTTCTTTTTTTCAAACAAACCGACCTTTCGGGCCCTTTACAGGTCCCATGGTCACGGTTGACTGAGGTGGTACAGTCTTCAACCAGTTATATAACTATATATATATTATAACTTATATTTTTTATAACTATATATATATATTTCGTTTCGGGCCCTTTACAGTTTCGTTTCGGGCCCGAAATGTCGGTTTGTTTGAAAAAACAAATATACGCGATTTAAATCCGGAAACACAGTTTCATTTCCTATGATTTGATTTGATAATACAATATTACCCTAGGACAGTGTTGGGCAAAATTTAATTGTTCTGGCAATTAAAGATTGACAATTGATTAATTGTCAATTGCGAAACAGCAATTAACGATTGATCAATTGTTAGTTGCGAGAACCGCAATTAACAACACTTGGGTGCCCCGGTTGGGGTCCCCGCTCGGGGGTCGCCGCTTGGCCCCAACCGGGGGCCCAAACCGGGGCCTCCAATCGAGGCCTCCAACCGGGCCCCCCAACCGGGCCTCCAACCGGGCCCCCCCAACTGGGCCCCCCAACCGGGGCCCCTAACCGGCCGGAATTGATTTTAATTGCAAATTTAATTGCAATTAAAATCAATTCAATTGAAATCAATTGCAATTAAAATCAATTGCATTTAATTGCAATTGATTTCAATTGAATTGATTTTTTAATCTGATTGAACTATTGATTGAAATTTAATTGATTAACGCCCAACACTGCCCTAGGACAGATACCGAATCTCAGAAATGTCGCACTGGTGCCTCCGCTTATTCGGACTCTTTCTCAACGCTGATCAAGAGCGATTGTAACAGTTTGTAACGCCTGTCCGAGGGGGCGGGCGAACACTCACGTCGGGCACGAAGGGCGCGTCCACCATGCCGGCCTCCAGGCGCGCCCAGCTGAGCTGGCTGAAGAAGCGGTGCTGCTTGACGGCGCCCGCGCCGCGCTTGCCCGCGCCGCAGCCGAGGCGCGCCGCCGCGCTCTTGGCCAGCAGCGCGCCGCACAGCGCGCGCGCGCACTCGCTGAACTTGGCCGAGTACTTCTCCGCCTCGTGCTGCAACGCGACTCACTCTCACGTCGAGGACGGGACGAATAACGCCAGAGCGGTTGCAGTGCCACTCGGAGGGGCCCTGAGCCTATCTCGCATGGCACTCGCGAAAATTATACCAACTGCAGGAAAAGTTATCGGCAGGCCTACCGCTTGTGACAGCTTACGTAACAGAGCGTCTGTTACGCCACCGGGACAATTTCAACAGGATATTTCTGACGGTATTGAATAACATGTTGATTGAAGGAACTGGCTACCAAATTAATCAATTGTTGCCATGTGAAACTGTTTTTTTTTGCAACATGCCTTTTGGCACTTTTTTAATGAATTTGTTATCATAATATCATATAATATCGTCACAAATATCTTGTTCAAATTATCCCGTGTACAACACGACATAACTGTTACGTAAATTTATTTCTGTTCTAGTTATATTAGTCTTTTTTTTGTGTTTTTTTTTTATAATGTGACGTTGCAATAAATGGTTTCTATTTCTATATTTCTATTAAACTATCGCTCCTCCCGCACCGCGCTGCTACCTCAGGAACTGGCTCAATTAAGCGATAGGCTTGAACTTTCGTTCATATAACCTTTCAAACCTTTTTTGAAAAGTTGTCGTTTTGGAAATGTACACCAAGGACGCGAAATCATGCTTCCAAGAAACCCGATAATATGTAACTTTGTAAAATATTTATAACCGTACTGACCTTGACTCTCCGGTCAACCTCTTCCCGTTTGACCTTCTCCTTGCGCGCGCGGAAGGGCGCCCGACCCTCTATCATCTCGTACACCAGACACCCGAATGAGAACCAGTCCGGTGAGAACGTATAACGTTCGTTGTCTATCACCTATAACGAAAGTAGTTCACTACATTGTCTCTTAACCCGTTTATGGGCAACAGCGGAGTTTACCGTAAAATAAAACATTAGAATATGGTAAGTATAGTATCCCGTTTGGCTACGTGAATCTCAAAAAAACCATAAACGGGTTTTACGATGTCGTATCCAAGTGTATTTATTACAAGTCCAATAGAGATTCAGATTTAGCTATTCATTATTATGCATAAATCAGTTTTTTATAAAATGATAATTTTTACCTCGGGCGCCATGTATCCGACAGTGCCGACGCGCCCGCGCACGCTACCGCCCTCGGGCACGTCGACGGCCAGCCCCAGGTCCGAGATTCGCACATGGCCTGCGTCATCTAGGAGAATATTCTCCGGTTTGCAATCCCTGCAACAAAGAATACATTATTATAAAGTGAATATTTATACTAGAGATGAAACAGATAGTGATTTGGCCGGATACCGTTTATCTGGCGAACACTTTGGCCGGATACCGTTTCTCTGGCGGACACATAGGCCGGATAGTCGGATATCTGACCTACTGTCGTAAACATGTCGCGACCGCTTTACAGCGCGTATCACTGTGATTGATTGATTAGTGAATGATTGCACTTTAACATTGACGATTTGACTTATTGTGGTCACTTGGTTTTTATAAAAACGATTAATTTATTCAATAACAAAAATAAAACAGTAAACGAAAAATGTTAACAGTGGAAAAAAAATTGCAAATTCGGCAATATTTTAATATCAGCGCTGTTTCTTTGTTGTACCGAATGCAAATATCTCGTGGTGGAGAAGGAAAAAAGCAATTACATCATTCTTTGACTATATTAAAATTTCTAGTTGTTATAAGGACAAGCCTAGCACTAGATACGCTCGTTATTATTTTGTTTCATTTGATTTCCTTAATTTGTTTGTCTCTCTACCATCTAACTAATTCTAAGCCTTGACACCAGTTTTGCTAAAAAAAAAAACAATGAACAAAGTTCGCTGAAGGTGGTCTCATTCATGAAAATAAATAGAACCAACTTTTACTACTTAATGCAAAATAATTGGTCTTCATCCACCATAATTTGCCCTTATTGAAATTTGAGTTCTAAATTTACAGACATCGTTATCTAACTTCATAGTTCTTTAAGTTACAAGTAATAAACAGATTGTCAACGATCCTGTAGTTGCTGTTTATCTTATTACTATCATCTTTAATCAATAAATCAATTTATTTCGCGTGCTGATTATGAATGGACAATCAGTTTTAAACACCCGTATCCGCCCGGATATTGTTCTACTGTCCGGTATCCGGCAGGATAGTAAAAATAGACCGGATACCGGATACTTACCGGATATCCGGTTTATCTCTTGTTTATAAAACAGAATACGAAATTCTGCAGCAAACCAATTACAAAAATAAAGAAAATAAAATGAATAATAATAATATTTACAATAATAATGCATACACTCAACATAGCACCGTACTAGATTAACGCTACATCGCGGGTGTCATAGACACACACATAGACAACCACAAATTACACCCAAACTCACAACAGAAATAAATGTAGGCCATATAAATATTTCTCCCGGCCTATACAATATTTCTCGAACCTGGGACCACGGCGTGGCAGTCAATATTAAAAAAACTAAAAACTAAACTAAAACATTATCTTTTAAAAACAGTTAAAATTAGTTAACGTGCTCGACTTATCGGAATTTTAATACTTATTAACTAATTACAAGCTTCGCTCACAAAAGCTCTTAAGTTAGCGGCCGGCAGAAAAATAAGGTTATTTTACATAGTACATGTGTGGATAAAAGATTTTACCTTCAATGAAGACATCTTACCTGTAAACAATGCCCATTTTGTGCAGATGCTCTAGGCCGCAGGCGACCTGCGCGGCGTAGAAGCGCGACCGCTCCAACCCGAGGCCGGTATCCGCGCCGCACATGTTGTAGATGTGGAACTTTAAGTCCCCGCCTGTCAAATACACGCCTGTCATTATCACTCGGAAAACAACTGCGAACATTAGAGCCCATACACATGGCGTGTTTTATACGCGCCGAGTAAACGCGCGCCATCTGCGCGTGTAGGCGCCGCAAACGCGCTGCAGTGAATCGATCAAAACACGCGCAAACATCGCGCTGCAGGCAAGAAGCTTATATACTCCACTGGAGTTTTTTTATATTTTATTTATAATGTCAAGTGACGGGACGCACAAGTCGTGCGCCTGATGGTAAGCTAGCAGCACGCCTGTCCATAACAGTTCCAGTGCCACTCAGAGCTTTAGATCACAAAGATCTGAGTGACACTGCCAATGCGCCCGACACCCTGAGACATAAGTTGACAAGTCCCATACGCCTGTAATTTCACCAGCACCCTTACCCTTCAAAACCGGAACACAGTAATGCTAACATTACTGATTGGCGGCAGAAATAGGTAAGGTTTTCTTCCACTTCCCTGGACGAACTCTTTCACAAGAAGTTTTACTGCTACTGAGTTTCACTTAGAATTTCATGTAGTTGCTTCATATCAAAAACTAACTGAAGTTAAAAAACAAAATTAAAACTACATCTTATCATAGTGCGCTATACATACGTGCGACTACAGCGCGTAAATCATCGTCATCGGCGCGTATAAAATACGCCGTGTGTATCGGCTCTTAAAATAATATTCTACAAAAAAAGTTACACCCTAGTAGGTTACACCACTTTTGCGCTGATAGCTTCAATTTGAGTTAATAGTTTGATTAAGGTATCATGTTTTGACTGCGTAAATGCCTAGCCTAAAAATATAGAAATCTACGTGACGGGTTGAATCGTGCTCCAGCTGCAGTGCCACTAAGAGCTTTAAATTGCAAAGATCTGAGGGGCACAGCCACACAAGGAGCTCTTCTGCTACTACTAGACGTCCACTTACCATTCATAATAGTAAGGACAAGACACAGCGCGTCCTTGGTCTCGTAGGCGTACGCGAGGTTGACGACGAACCGCGAATTGATCCTTTGCAATATCTGCTTCTCGATCAACACCATCGCCTCGCCTTTGCGTTTCTTTATACGCTTCTTTTCCAGTTTTTTGCATGCGTACATTTTACCTGTTGCTCTAACCTGTAAAACAATGGCACAGGATCATCAACGATAAACAAAAAAAAAATATTTTGATAATTTGCTATATAGCATTTCGGAATTTTCCAGTCACAAGCTTCAGAAACACGTTTTCGGGCTTTTTGAAAATAGCCATTGTTGTCTTTCTTGAATCTATCAGCTTCTCGTAAAACTGTTAGTAACAATTTTTGCTAGAATAAAAAAAGTTTAGTATACAGAACACAACGACACAGCATAATATAACATTTATTTTATATACAAAAAAACAGATTTGGTTTTTGGATTGTGATTTTTCCCAACCCAGTATTTTATAATTGGACAATCAAATCTGCCTGCAATCATTTTTTTATTTACTAATATTATGCACCCCGAAGTCGGCGTAATCTTCATTGGAGGTATCGAAATGAATTTTGTATTATTTTCTTTCGTTCTATTTACCTGACAAGCGCAAACTTCGCCAAAGCCGCCCTTGCCCAACACCCGGTACATGCGAAAGGTGTGCTGAGTGACCGGCTGGGCCTCGAGCCACTTCCACTGCAAGTATCGGTGAAAGTACATGGACCGTTCGAACTCCGCAAACGGCGTGCCAGCCAGGAAGCTCTTCACGCATCTTATGCATTCTGCGAATATATCTCTGGAACCACCTGAAAGCAGCAATTGATAAATAATTGTAACAAAGAACTTCGCACAAGGGCAAGGTTTCTTAACCTTTTTCTAGTCATGGACACCTCTTAAAATGTCAAAGAGCCCACGGACCCTTTCCGAAAAAGTAAAAAAAACTAGGTTTAGCTGTTACTAGGTATATTGTTTGCGATTAAACTTTACTTAATATGAACATGAATATGCCATCATTGGCATATTCTGCTAATGGGTAAAATAGATAGAACTAACTGTCTATAAGTGTGCTGGTGTCCTCAACAACCGCGGGAGTGACGACATCAGTGACCCCCGCGGCGTCCTCCGTCTTCAGATACCGGCCGAACAATTCCGTCGCGAGCGCCACGCGTGACTCGTCGACCTCCACTTCATACCGTTCCGCCTGCAATTTAAATAGTCACAACAGATTCGACAAAGAAATTAATACGGCGCATAATCCAATAGAACAGTTTGCGTTTAATTAAATTAGTAAAGAATTAGATTTGCAGCGTTCGAAGTGATAAACTATCATTGATAATTTATCATAATAACTATCACGATATCACGATAGTTCAATACTGATAATTACGAAATTAATTGGAAAATCAAAACGCTATGACAAGCAATGTCATATGAAATTTTCCGCTTCGAAGCGTATTCAAACGCGTCAAGTGTCAATATTAAAACAAAAGAAACAATCTCGAAATATTTATAATATTTAATGTAAGTTACTTGTTTCAAAAAATGTTTAAAGTAGATTATTTCGTATTTTCAAATATGAATCAAATAAAGAGACTTCATGGATAATTATCGGATAAGTATTGAATAATTAACAAATAAATATCATGATACTTACCAAAGAAAATAATTTCCTTGGTAATTTCGAACCCTGGACTTGCTCATATTTAACGTAATGTGAATGTGAAAATCATCTCTGCAATCTACGGTTTGTATTATTGATACTGTCTCAGTTCGAATTCTAATATTTTTCCGCACTAATACGGTTCATTTTGCTTGGGTCGAGCGGCAGAACCGGTTTTATTTCAGAATTTTTTTTTACCAACGAAATTAATGCCATTTGAAAAAAGTATATCGTATACTGTAACGTGTTGTGTTTAGTTCAGTTGATATAAAAAACCGACCTCAAAAGTACGTGGAATTACGGCTATTTGCTAAGTTTTATTGAAATATCCCCTAGTTCGCCACAATACAGGACTTGACACTGGAGATAATAATAATCGGTTCTCACTACGACACTACTCAAAGTATATTGAGAGAAAAACGCCTTGAATGGGAGAAATAGCAAAATCAACCATTAAAGTAATTGCTCCTAAATTAAAGTTAGGCGCTATTTATAAAAATGAATCTTCATGCGCGAACAGCCACCCTTCGAGGTGGATGATTTTCTTCAAAATGAAATGGGACCACTATGGAAGTACCCCCTTTCCAACAAAAAAAGAATCATGAAAATCGGTTCACAAATACCGGAGTTATCGCGTAACATACATACAAAAAAAAGAACATACAGTCGAATTGAGAAGCTCCTCCTTTTTTGAAGTCGGTTAAAAAAATCATTGGTATATGTAAAGTATCTATTGAACACAGCGGTTTTCTTGTAAAATTTCGAAGTAAGTTTGTGTTTTTTTTTCAACGTGAAAATTTTTAGAAATCATGTTTACACACCATATAGTAATCAGTATATATCCTCAATTTTACTATTCATTTTTCCAAACTGATTGATTCAACACTTTGACTGTTACGCTGAATCTACAAACGCCATTTGAGGTAGTATAAGACTCTTAACTAAATGTAGTTGAAATATTAATTACCATTAGCTTTTGTAACTTATAGTCGCAAGACATTTAGCATAACACTGCCGCAGACTTATAGTCTTAATGATTCGCCGAATTCCAGATCCTTTTTTAATGACGCAAAATATCTTTGCCATCTTTTCTTTGATTAACGAAAAAGAGGTTCGTAACTCGGGCGGTACTTATCAGTATGTAACGTGGGCTTGTGATACGAGACCGGAATTTAATAAGCATTTTATTAAACCCGGAGTTCACGAAGTCGGCTTTACCTTGGCTCAAAAAGTTAGCATTTTCTTCGTCGTTACATAAGCCACGCCTACTCAGGAGTAGGCTACTTTGTCTATCGAGAGAGAGTGGAGCCGGCTTCGTGAAATCCTAGCCTTAATTGAAGAGTGAAGTGAATATGGGTTGAACCTTAATACGTGTAGTACACACCGCATCTAAGAAGTTGTTGTACTTGTGGTAGTGCGGGCGGTTCTTCTCGCAGAACTGGCGGAACAGCAGCTTGCCGATTGGCTGCTGATCCACCACGTAGTCGTAGCCTACTTCTGTAACAAACAAAACGTAACGTTAGTAACTTAGATAGATTTGCAAAGGATCCACTAAAACTAACACCATAATTATTATTATATTGAACCGCTTAAAAATAACAATTTTTTTTTTAAAAAAGGAACGTATAGCTACGCATATAACTAATACTTTTGGAAATCATGGCAGTGAAAAAGACGCTGGCTTAGCATAAATGCCGCAGTTTCACATTCTATGTTACAAGATAGTTATAACCAAATTTCAAAATGGATGTATTTACGTTGAGACTATGTAAAATAACTTGCTTTGCAACTTAGAGACTATATATTGCTAAGTTTGAGGAGTGGTAGTCCAATTGTAAATGTTTAGTAGAAAATTCTCTTGCTAAATATGTTGATGTCAACGAAAACATCCCGATGAGACCTACGAGTCGAAGAAGGTTTATAACCCGAAAGCGTATAAAGCCCACATCCTGCATTGAACTTAGCGTGGTGTAATATGGACTAAACCTTATCTTTGGAGTAAATCCGTGCTCAGAAGTGAAACATATAAAAGGTTATACATCGACACCCCCTAGGAAAAACATCGTAACTCATCTTCCATTTTTGAGTTAGTGTCATGTGCTTATAAAGTTTTTTTTTCCGCTACTTGACGATCTAATTATCGAATGTCTGAGGGTCGTATTCCAGAACTCTACTCAATGCTCAAGTCAGGACTTGAGTATGATTCAAAGCACTCGAAATCATACTCAAGTCCCTGCCATTAGGGTCGTATTTCCAGTGCTTGTGTTTCAATTGCAATCCTGACTTGAGCATTGAGTAGAGTTCTAGAATACGACCCTAAGACAAATAGTTTAGAAGTTTAGATGATGCATACAATTGTATCTCATAATCATTTTCGAAGAAAAAGAACGTATGTTGGAGAGCAATGATTATATAACGAAAAATAACATGCTAACTTCAATTACGATTTAATTATTGGTATGGATAGCACACGTCGCCCAAGAAAAAAGTGTGTTTTAAGATACAATACTTTTATTCGGACTCCTGCTCATTTTATTTTGGTAAACAAGCGAGGTATAAAATTATATTTTACTTTTGCTTTGGAAGTAACATGTCATGATGAAGAAGAAAGGAGGTTTGTTTTTACATGACTTGAATACTATTTATTAAGGTCCTGTTTACTAGACAAAAATTTAAAATCGAAAAAAAGATTTGCATTTGGGTCGAGTACATAGGATCATTTACCATGAAACAGCAGATTTGTATGATGAACATTAAAAACTCTACATGACTGAAAAAAGATTCAAAGTTTTTAATCCTGCACCATGTTAATTATTTTGTGTATTTGTATGCATTTGTGGCAATAGATAAATACATCAGATTATACACGAATTTCAAATTTGTACTCTGATTCCTTGACTTAGGACTAAGTTTACAATATACATATACTACACAAATTTATAAAAGAACACATAGAACAGATACTTATAGATAGAACTATGTTTACTTGAACAAGAGACTATTAGTTAATTATTCAGATTTAGCCATTAATCTCTCTTTGTTTTATGTTCATTTTGGGGCAATTAAATTATAAAAGATTATGTAGTTGACTAAGTTTGCGTAATAGGCTCGAAAGAAAACTGGAAACCAGTGCCAAGGTTTCTTCTCAGACTTCAGCGAATATCGAGACTGTCCGTCATGTACAGCCCCAGTCTGGCTACTTACGATAGTGGTGGCAACCGTTAGTTGTGTTATGCATAACGAGAGGCGAACAAGTCCAACAGCTCCGGTACCTACATATTTGGTTGCGCTCACCCAAGGCACTAGTCTTTTGAGGACCGGATGAAGTTTGTGTCAACGAACTGATCTGGGGTCAGAATCTGGCTGGTAAGGTCCCTATGTAAGCTTGCTTGCACAAGTAATAGTGTCCTTCTCGTATAACCGAGAGGGTGAATGGGAGGGGCATCGATACAACCTCAAATGACTTTGATTGATTCCGTATGACAGTGAGTGTTGAATCAATCAATTGAAAAAAAAATCTAGTTGAGGATATACACTGATTAGCTACGGTCTGAAAACACGATTCCAAAAATTTTCACTATAGAAAAAAACAACAAACTTACAAGAAAACCGCTGTATTCAATGGGTACATTACATATACCAATGATTTTTTTTATATCAACTGAACTAAACAGAACACGTGTACTATACGATATATATTTTTCAAAAGGCTTTAATTTCGTTTGTAAAAGGAATTGTAAAAAAAAGGACTTGAGTAAAATGAACCGTATTAGTAATGGAATAATGTGAATTAAATAGCAAGGTATGGGTCCACCGTGCAAATTTTTTTATATTTGCAAATAGTATTATTTTCTTTATTATGTAATTTATATGTGAAATAAACAGTTTATGAATTGCCCCGACAAAATACCGTTGAATTTAATCAGTTGGAAACCAATATAGGATTAAACATCATTTCCCCGTTTTATAGCGCGCTCAAGGGACTATTCTCTTGATTTTATCGCTTGTCGTTTAATTATTGACTGCTTTTAGTCACGTTATTGTCGTAGAATTCAATGGAGAAAATCTACTGATTTCCAACCTAAGGTGGTACAATGGTTGTTCAAGTTGAGGAAGTTTTAGCGAAATATCAGTGAGTAACTACACGAATACTCTTCGGCATAGAAAATAACAAAAGAATTGTTAATACAATAATAAATTCCAAAGTAGAGGGAAGACATCTGCGTTTAATTTAAATAAAATAAATGGAATAAATATTGTAGGAAATGAAACTATTTTTCCGGATTTAAATCGCGTATTTGTTTTTTCAAACAAACCGACGTTTCGGGCCCTTTACAGGTCCCATGGTCATGGTTGACTGAGGTGGTACAGTCTTCAACCAGTTATGTCTAATATTAATGCAAACCACCCTATTTGGATGGATGGATTTAAATCCGGAAAAATAGTTTCATTTCCTATGTGTAACAATCGCGAAAACCTAAGAACTGAATAAATATTGCTTTACTTTGGCCAAATAGTCTGTTACTGTTGCTAGAAGACGTCAGTTCTAATCCAGCCGGATCGATGGAATTTTTTCTGAGTGTTCGATCTTTGTATTAATGATTATAACAAACTAGTGGAGTAATTTCACAAAAAATAATTGCATATCCATTCAAAACAAATTTATTTATGACCTTATTATAAACTATGTTTGAACGAAGCTCGCAGGACTGTGCTCTTAATGTCGGACAAGTTGTTTTTAGACTTTGAAATAGTAGCTTTGGTATTGACTTTTGACATCAATGCTCGTGTTGCCAGGAGTGTAAATTAGTTTTCAGACATTCCGCAACATGGCATGGCGCCAAATAGTAACTCGTCTACCAATAAAGCGATTGGTGACATAATTAAAAATATTTTATCGAAACTAACAGGGTTGTATGAAACACTCGAGGCGAGCCAATGATCGTATGTAATATGAAACCAAAAACGTTAAAGTTGATACACCAAAATTTAATAAGCCTATCTAGCCTATCTTTAAAGGAGTCACCACATCGTTTCACGACGAATTCGAAAACGAGTCGGTCACAATACGCTATACGTCCATGAAATAAACAGCTAAACAGACGTTGCGCATTTAGCTTCCGCTCAGACCGCCGCCGACGCGAAACGCACAACACGTCTTTGTCGTTCTTATTGCAAGGATATAAAGCTTTTTCCGCTCGGCTTAACGCGATGCCGTGTCGATAACTGTGATAACTCCCCTAAGAGTGCGTACAGATGCAGTGCGAACGCGCTGCACGCGAGCTGCAGGCTTGCAATATAATATGTCGATACCTATAATAAAAACTACGCCAAGTTACATTTTGGACCTGTTCTGTTTTATTTTGCTTTTGTTTTTTTTTCTGAATTTTGTTTTTACTCCTTTATTTTTTTCACATAATTCGGGGAGCATAATATTAGTAAATAAATATGGCTGTTTACAAAAATAACAGAAAATTACCTAATTAGGAGATGCGCGAGCAAACGGCACGCGAACAGATCGCACAATGTAATGCTCGTGTGCAGCTCGCGAGGCTTTCGTAAAACAAGCGCATTTGCGGTCCATTCTCCAGATCTGTACGCACCCTAAAAAAAGCTAATCAACAAAACTTTGCTAGTAATTCTGTGTGTGCAAATGTATGGAAAGAAAAACAAGATGCATGTTAATAGAACTGGTAAATGTTAATGTCCACAATAAGATTAAGTGGTCATTGCGTCACCGTCATTGTCAAATGTTAAATTTTTTTTTATAACACTAAGAGACCCCCGACACTAGCGTCTTTCGAACGTCAGCGTCGACAAGGATTCCGCGCGACCGCGACGCAACGCCAGTGCGGCGTATACTCAACGTTTCTAAGTGGTCTCTAAGTGACGGGACGAAAAAGTCGTGTGTCTGGTGGAAAGCGACACCCCTGTCCCTAGCAGTTGCAGTACCACTCAGAGGTTTAAGTAGCAAAGATCTGAGGGGCACTGGTCATAAGTTGACTAGTCCCATGCGCTTGTTCCTGTCCCGTATGTCTGGCTTACCCTGGGCAATAATCAGCGAAAACCTTACGCTGATTGGCAAATGCTTTCACCATAATGGCTGGCATTATTGCTCACGAGTCAAGTTAAGAGCCTCACTAATTGTGTTCCCGGTTTAATGAAAGTCATAGCGGTCAGTATAGGTATATATTTTACAACACACGCCAAGAATCAGGGCAAGAGTGCAGACACATTAACATTTTATTGTGTGAGTGGTTACCTAGAGGGAGAATTTTTTTTAGCAGTAGAACTCCTTGTGAATGAGTTCGTCCAGGGAAGTACTGATACTTTACCTACACACATCAAAAGTGTCTAGGGATCAAGTGAATATTTTTGAAATAAAAATTATTTAAGCAATATTTACCAAATCCAGTCTTCCAGAACGACTTCTTACTTTAATGCTTATGTTTTATTTAACCGCTTACCCCTATATTTAATTAAAATAAACTAAAATT